TCTGCCCTACAGCACTGGGTCACACCTGCTGGGCTGCAGTGGCCCTGGGGGATGGCAGCAGTGTGGGAGCCTGAGCCTGCAGCATGCAGCATGCATCCACCCCTGCCCCATGCACAGATCTGGGGGCATGGGTCCCCCCGTCCGTCTGGGAATGTGTGCAGCGGTGGAGAGCCAGACCCACCCACCTGCCCCCCAGATGAGCAGCCCGCGCTTTCCTTCAGTAAGGGAGGAAATCCATGTTTTACTCTGTTTTTCCATGGGAAACGGAAAACCTGGATTCCTGGTGATCTTTTTCATTTACCTGAACTGATTCAGTGTGGCCTGGCCATGCAGCTAAAATAGAGGATTGAGAGTCAGGAGACTTGGACACTGCTACAGACAGTGTGGAAGAAATATACATTTTGTGCCTCAGCTTCCTAGCTGTAAAACAGGAACAATTCACATACGTGTTGTGTGTCTCAGCCATGTTGAGTCATGGCTATGCAGAGTAGTTTAGAGAAGAAGCAGGTTAGAGCCTACTTAGAAAAGTTAGATGTTCTGAGATCTCTTGCTTAGAGAACTGAAAGAACATGGTGAAGCAATTGCAGAACCTCTAGTGATTGTATCTGAGAACTTGTCATGGACGAATGAAGTTTCAGAAGAGGGTAAATGTAGTGCCAATATGTAAAAAAAATAAATAAATAAATAAAAAAAAAAAAAAAAAAAAAAAAAAAAAAAAAAAAAAAAAAGGGTGGGGGAGAGGGAAGGGACCAAGGAATGTTAACTGCTTAACTTAAATTCTCAGAAGGATATTAAAGAAAATAATCTATCTGCAAGAACCTAGATGATAACAAGTGATAAGTAATAGTCAGCATGGATTTGTCAAGAATAAGTCATGTCAAGCCAGCCTAATTTCATTCTATGCCATGATAATAGGCTTTGCATATCAGAAAGAAACAGCATATGTAATATATCTAGACTTCAGTAAGGCTTCTGACGTGGGGGACTGTTTCTGATACCATTTTTATTGGTGAAATTCCCAAACAATTCTATCAACTTCACAGAAATTTCCCCAAATTACCACTGGTGCAAGAGAGATCATAACCTGTCTCATGGATCATGTTTTATATATTCTGTACAGAGTTAGGTACAGTTAAAGTGATCATATATATTAATTATAGACATGCATAATATAATATATATAACTATATAACATGTACCATGTATGTTATAATTGTTATTTATATTATGTAACACTTATAGCCATTGAAAATAATGAACTGATCAATTTATTATTATTATGTCTGGGTATTCACTCCAGCTCCACCTGCTTGATTGATATTCTGCCCCATAAAACATGGTTCCCAAGAGATAATAAAGTTATTAGATTTTAAGCAGAGTGAAATGTTGACTGAAGTACTGGTCAGTTTACAAGTTTCTTAACATTTTACATTTCTCTCTTGTCTAGCTCTTCCTGGATTGGAAGTTGATATTTTTTTTACAACTTCTGTTTCTTTCCCAATTATAGTAAACTAGTCTCAAGATATTCACATCCACAGGACCTTTTCTTTATACTGCACTAGCATCTGAGAAATACAGTCAATTTTGTGATCTAATAGTTCCAGGTACTGTCCAAACTGAAGCGGTTGCTGTCCAGAGAGAGAAAGGATAATTTAATGTAAGATCTTACACTTTCCTTATTTGTGCTTAAAGAAATAATTTTGTTTCATCTAAGTATATAATCACCCTGTTAATAACTACTGCCTCCAAAGAGATAGTGGGAACAAGTATTTTTAGCCAGAACATCTCTGTCTTATCTATGCACCATAATTCACAGAAAGTTTTCTCTCTAAATCCCAAATTCCATGTTCTTTTCTCTAGAAAGCAATCATAACTCTTGCTTCATGCAAGGATCACCTATTTAGGCAGTTTATTACTTGGCTAGTTGAACAATGTAGCTGAGATGGCTGTCATGGTGAATGAAAGAATTTGTGCCAAAATGCTTTTTGAAAGTCTAAATAAATGTGATCGCTTGGTTCTCCTTTGTCTGCATTCAGACGATTTGAATAGATTAGAGCAAGGATTTCCCTTCAAAGAAGCAGGCTGATGTGTCCTTATCGTATCAGGTTCATTTAAGTGTTACTCAATTCTTTTGGTAATGAACTCAGACTTTCTAGCTTGTAATTCACAGGATCACATCTAGCAGCTTTTTAAAAAGACAAGTAGGTATTTGTACAACATTTGCAATCCTATAGTCTTTAGATAGTGTAGGATATTTTAATAAGCCCTTGCATATTTTTATCCAAATCACTTCATTCTTAAATACCTTAATAACTGTTGGATAAGTACTCTCCAGTACTACAGTCTTGTGTCTAACTTACTGATTTATTATCCCTACTTTTTTCACCCTATAACCCCAAAGAATGTCTCATCTATATTACTTGAATAAAAGGTCTTTAATATGCATTGTCCCACTATTCTCTTTAGCAATCAGGCCCCTAAGAAGAGTGATTGATCCATGATCCTGAAACTCTATTGCATATCGGATTAATGAATACATGTTCTCATAATATACGGATATATCTGTCTCTCCTGACGTCTTTAAATATTTTTCAGAAAGTACAGCAATCCTAAAGACCACATTGATGATCAAGGCTAAGTGATAAGACATACCAAAAAATTGCCTCACCTATTACCTATCTGCTTTTAGCCAGAACTTTCAGTAACTCTTTGCTATGCAAAGACTTGATAGGTTGATGCCCAGTCAGTTTTGATTCACTTTTTAATGTTTTTAAGCTGGTCTAAGGTATTTAAGCTAGTCTAAGGTATAAGTAAGTGTTTCCAAGTTTCCATATACATAGTATCTCAGTTAGAACGCACTAGCACTAGCCCTATGACAAAGTTCTTACACCAGTTTGTGCAAACTAGTACAGAATTGTTGAAACCAAACTGATATCTACTAAGAATAAAAATAAAAATATCAAATTAACGTCCTTTTATTACTTTGACCCTGTGCTAATGAAGTGTCCAGATTTGTCACCTCTAATAAGAAAATGCATAGAAAACACACCTATTTCTGTCAAAAATAAGAATCTGCGTTAACTATTTTAACACAATTTGTCTCCCCTTCTTCTTATAACCCCGTTCCTCTTTTCTGATGTACATTTTGCTTGGAACTATTGTCTCTTCCTTTCCAGAGCTTTCCTCAAATCTAACTTTGCTGAATTGTTTGTTATCCTTGTTCTGCTAAACTCTCACCTCTGCTAAGTGCAAAAAGGTACTGCTTCATGTCTGTTCTCAGAGTTTGTTTAACAAATAGAGTGATCCAGTCACCTTCTGAGGAGACTTTCCCTGGCACAGGCTTTTCCTTTCCCCTTGTTTTCAGTTGTTTCTCTTTGCTTTCCTCACCAGTGTCTTTCCTACCCTGACTGGCTGTTTTTCTGCTTAACCATTCATTTTAAACTGCAAACACCTTGAACAGGAGTCTGGCTTTCCAACTCAGGTGGATATGTTTTCCTCCTTTTTATGAACAAATGAATAATAAATTAAATATAATCAACTATCCTTGGCTCTCACTCAGCTTAGCCCATTGAGCCAAGTATATAGCCAATAGTTCCAGAAATCTGATGATTTTCAGGTTCTTGTTTTTACGAGGTATACTAAAATCCATCATACCCTTTCTATACTGTTGAAAAGAAAATTCCTCCTGATTAATCTGTTAATAGCTACTTGTAAGACATTATTTAATCAGCCTCCATCTCTCTAGAATGTCTGTTTAAGTGTCAGTGTCATCTGTACATGCTGCATTATTCTAAATGATACAGAAAATGTCAACCTGAATGAATGAAAATTTCGGAAATTTGAAAAAAACTGAACACAGAATCTCAGGTTATATTATTCCTACAGTCACTGTTGTAAATCTGCACCATGGCCGTCCAACTTCTAAGTGGCTGGGGGACACGCACATAAGAGTTGTATGCTGGGGGGCACACTAATGCAAGCCACGGGTCCATAGGCTGCACTGGAGGGTGCTGCACATGTGGGCAGTGCCCCCCCCCCCCACATACACACTGCTGCACCATGCTGTGGGATCCTGTGGCACCAGGGGATGTGCCATTCCCATTCCTTCCCTTTGGGTAGGAGAAGGAAGTAAAAGTTGATGGTGGGTGGGGGTCGTGGTGTCCAGGAGGGAAGCTTAGAGACACCAACTGCAACAGCAACCAGAGAGATGAAGGGGGAGGGTCTGGGTTGGGACTGCATGTTAACCCCTCACAGGATGTGTGCAGCCCCTTAGCCACCAGCTGAACAGCCACGGTCTTCACTAAATTGCAGTTCTAACTAACAGAAGAGAAAGAGTTAAGGAATTTTAACAATAGTTGTTGCAACATCTCCTACTATTTAATCCCCTTTGAGGAACCGAGGAATATGCAAATAAAAAATCACATCCAAACAGTCACCATTGTAACATATTTGTTCATAAAGCTCGTGCCATATCCTGCTATCTTTTCACATGGAATTTCTCTATAAAAATCACAGTTATAATCACACAAACACCCTTAACTCTCTCCCCATGTCACTGCCAACCTCTCACATTCCACACAGCATAGCATTTAAATCTGCTTTGGAAGAAATGGTATTACTTAACAAGCTTACAAAGAATTTTTGGAAGTCCATTGTTATCGTCTGCTTAGGAAAAATTATTTTGTTTGGACAGTTTGCCTGCAGGCTGTAATACATGTGCACTGGTTTACTGGTTCATTCTAAATATGATATTTAACACCACTCTGTACAAGACGGTTGTTGTTAGATGAGTTTTGAGCATAGGGGGCAGCTCTTGGCAGTCTAATGACTTACTTGCACCACAATGGATGTCTGCACAACTACTGTCACCAGTACGTACAGTGTTGACACGCCAAGTGTTGAAGCATTTTAGGTTTCTGTACTAGGTATGACACTAAAGAAACCAGTAGCCATGCGAATTTTGGTGTGCTGTTCAGGTTTAGTAAGGTGGGACCATGCAATAATTGTGAATCTAAGATCAAGAGGATTTGTTCCTAATTCTGCCTGTCCCCTCCCTGATCTGCTGTTTGCTACACATGGAGGCTGCCATGCCACATGCAGCACCCAATGCCATAGACTTTGAGTGACTTTACTTTTTCAAACTTTGAATTTTCTGGAGTTGTTCTGGTTTAAAGACATTACAAAGTCCTTCTACATTTCCCCCCCAATGATATATTTACACTCTTACTTCTAAGTAAGGGTTTGGCCTGGGAGGTATTAGTGGGAGGTTTGGAAGTACACAGTGAGAGGAGTCAATGAGGACTTACGAGCTGCGGGTGTGGATGCTCCCACACAGCTTCTGAACTCTGGGTAGAATTTGGTTTTCAGACCACCTTCATCCCTGAAACATTTGCTTGTTCCCAGATGGCCCCATATTTCCCTGTGATGTGCCAGTACTTGTTCATCCAAGAGCATACTCAGGTGTAATTTCTCTGTGATTATACCTTTTTGTCTTGGTCCATGTAGATTTTATGAAGCCTAGTCTAGGCATGATGGCCATGTTCATTTAGAAAGTATAGAATGGAGTCATAGGCATCTCTCATGAGGCAAATTATATCTAGAAGGGTTATTTCAGCACACAAGGGGATACCAGGCAGGGGCACACCCCAGCTATGTATTCTACTCCTCAGACTTGTACGGGGGCTTTCATGGGATGAGGCAAAGGAATCTGCTCCTATGTGCATCTTTTGCTTCTGGCTGCTAGATTTGAATTAATAGCAACAAAGCAGTACTGGTTCCTTTCCTTAGTAAAGCTAGACACTGTGAAGAGGATTTTATGCCTCCCCCCAAGTTCATTAAGGACATGATCATGGCACAAAATGAGTAGGAATTACTGCTTCTTTCATCTGCTGCTCAGCATCCCTCAGCACCACTGGGTAGCTTCATTTTTAATAGTGCTTCCCTGTCCCTGTGACCAGCTTCACAAGAGCTCTGCTCATTAACTCTGTGTGACTTGATATTTTCCTCTGTGTGGCTGCCAACCTCCACTGAAGAACTCTGCTGGAAAAAATCTGGACTCCCATGGAAGCTGGGAAGTGGGCAGAAGGGAACTAGGAGAGACCACAGAAGGAGACAAAAGAAGGCATTTTAGGACAGGGTGTGAGGCTAGGCAGTCTGGAAGTGTAAAGGAGCCAGTGAGGCTCCTTTGACAAAAACCTGTCAGAGTTTTTGGTGAACATTCCCAGATTTGCAAGACCTTCTCTAAACTTTCCAAGACCCATCAGGACCTCTGGCCCACCCTAAACGACCTATTGGTCATTTTGGCATTGTCATCTCACCAGTGTACAGCTTCCCAAATATGCCTTTCCAAAATGGACCTGTACACCAGCTCTTGCCAGGATCCACTAAAAGAAACACCCCCATGCAAAGTTTCTAGATGACTCATTTGGCAGATAAAAAATAAGTACTAGAGGAATTTTCAACATTGGCATCGCTTACTCTCTTCCACATTGCATTTTTCAAAGGTGGGAGCAGGCCAGATTTAAGTGTGTGTGTGTGTGTGTGTGTGCACGCGTGTGTGTGTATGTTTGAAAATGATAATGATAATGATCTACAGAAGACAGGACACACGTGCAGTAGTTGAAGCCGCAAGGACAATCCTGCCTTGGGGGTTTTAGGAAGGAGGCCAAAATCAAATATATTACACAAATATTTTTCAGCTTTGGCTATTGAGAAACTTCTGATATGTTCATAATTAAATTGTATTTACTTTAATTACTAAAAATCTTTTATCTACACGGAAAGCAATTGTGTCTGTCATCTCTTCAAAGCTACTTGGCACTGCACATTGCCCTTTCTCATGTTTTTTTTTTTTGCTCTAAGATGTATATATCCACCCGTTTTCATCAGTTCTGTTGTTTTTCTCTTCAGCCTCTGCAAGACAAGGCTGCGAGGTGATCTTGTGGCTATCTAGAAACTCACTGGGGGGGTCAGCAGGGAGTAGGGGATACTCTGTTTACCAGGGTGCCCCTTGGGGTTACTAGAAACAACGGCCATAAACTGAAGGAGAGTAGATTTAGGTTGGACATCAGGAAGAAATTTTTTATGATGCGGGTTGCCAAAATATGGAATGGGCTTCCAAGAGAGGTGATGCTTTCCCCTACCTTGGAGGTGTTCAAAAGGAGATTAGACAAACACCTGGCTGGGGTTACTTGACCCCAATGCTCTGTCCTGCCCAAAGCAGGGGTCATACTCAATGATCTAATAGGTCCCCTCCAGCCCCAGAAATCTGTGAAATCTACCTGTTGCAATATGAACAAATGAAGAACAAATACATATTTGTGCTGACACACAAATCACTGGATGAATTCAGACCCCAATTTAAAACTTGGATCCTGAGATGGGAATCCTGAGATTTATTATGATTCTACCCATTTAACCTCTAACACTATCAGCCCTGCTTAACCAAGTGAGAACAGGTTTTCCCAGCTGATCCCTTAAAAAAAAAGCCTCGTAGGAAAAGGTGGTATAATGGTATCCTTAATCTTTTTTAATATCTCATTTAACTTTCACATAGTTAGTCCTTTTGTGAACACTGCTGGACTAATGGTCTTGGCAGCTAGTTCTTCTGTTCATCTATTTTTTAAAGCTAGGACAGCAACAATGCAAGGTTCCTCAAATACACTCTGCAACCTTTTCCTTGATACCATAATCTTGAGTAAAAGAGCAACTCAGTTTCCAAGTCTGTTTAAACCTTGGTCTGTCTGCTGAGACAACCAACAGGGATAGTGGCTAATGAATTTATTAGTTTTATAATGTGGACAACTTTGTCCAAGCCCAGCCCACCATACACCACCACTAGCTTGGGGATGATTAGTCACTGCCAACTTAGTTTGACAGCTTAGAGGACTCCAAACTCTTAAGCCAGCTGGTTCTGTACTAATGAATATTTCTACAACAGCAAATCAGTAAAAGAGCTGTACTCATGTTTAACTGTTAAAGAGTGAAATCGTTCTTTTCTCAGGAGTTGTATGTACACCCAAATTTTACTCAGGCATATACCATGAACTTACACAACACTTATGGATCATGGCCAAATTCTGTAACTCTTGAAGTTTCTGGATTTACACCAAGTATATTATTGTGTAGATGGGCAGAATTTGGCGCGCTGGCCTTTGCAATACTGGGGATTTTCAGCAGTTCTCCAACTCTTGTTTTAGTACTACAGGTGCCCCCCAATCATGAGCTGGGGTGGAGGCACTAGTATAGATCAGGACAGATGTTTCCTATAATAAGAGCTGTACAGAATGGCAGAGATGACTCAGCTGCAAAAACACCTCTTGTGTCTACTTCTGTATTCCTACCATTGTTAATGTTAGTCCCAATGGACCTGCCACATTGCCAGACCAACAACGGACAAATTGCTAATGTCTCAATCCTATTCTACGATGCAAACAGATTGCAACTGAATTGCTTTGGAAATTATTCATATATTTAACTTCAAAACCTGCATTGCCTGTTAATGGGCAACCAGATAGACTCCTAATGTTAATTTTGTTAACCTGAGCAAGTGGTCAGTTAGGAATCAGAAATATCATTTCCATTGATAAAATACAAAAAGTGATATATCTGTCATGACAATTACATATGTTACCCATATGCACATTATCACATATCTCCTATTGCATTAAAATGGGCATTCTTACAACTAGTGCTATAGAAATGACAGACAGAATATCCAATTCCAAGGAGGGCTTAGGAAGCAAAACACCTAAGTATATACAAGTTGGCATCACTTCTATGTGTGGCGGTCATGGCAGTACTCAGCTGAGCAGGAATGGGCCTTTCATATATAACTATAAAATTTGGCTTAAAATTTGGCTGAGTATGAGCCAATTAAAACCAGTCCAATGTAAATTTTAATATTAAATGAACATTTTGGATCTTTCTAAGTCCAGCAATAAACTAGTTCCACTCCCCTCCTGTCTAAGGTTCTGATTTCCTTCTCATGCTTTGCAAACAGTACTAAGGCAATATCTTGCAGCCCTTCATCAGGTAGAACTCCCCTAGACTCCCACACTGAGAGTGCACGTAGAAAAGGGAGTACTTCAGAGAAAGCATGACTATATTAAGGTGTGTTTAGCAATGAACACTGCAAAAGATTCAGGCTGATTTGGCTTATCTCAGAAGCAAATGACTTTGTAATTAAGCCTAAGGACATCTTTCTGTTATTTCAATATGCTAGATAAGTGAGAGTTGTATTGCAACAGGTTTATGTAGGAAGTAGATTTAATTGTTCAGACCCTTTGATACAGCTATAGCTGTGTTGGTTCTTCAGTAGAGGAATCTATAAGATAGCTAAATCAATTTCCTTTACCAGAATGATGCTCATTTTTCCCAAACTTTAACCTGTATCACTTACAGCCCCAAACCCTCCAAGCCAGCAAACTCTTATCAGGAGAGAAAAATTTGGAATCTCATTAAAAATGCTAATTACCCAGGCCCAGTGACACTGTCAGATGCAATGGAGAAACAGAATATCTCTATTGATCAAATTACTCACCAACAATGACAGCAATGATGGTTAGGAGCACAAAGGCATTCCTTAGTAAGTAGCTTTTAACATCATCCTTTGTTATGCTCTGCACTTTCTTTTTTGCCATTAATGTACGTTTCCGGACTCCTTGCTGAAAACGCTCCATCCTACTTCCAGATCGTGGATCTTCTCCGTTACTTTTAGTCATCTAGCTCTCAAAAAGTAATTTCTTTTTTCTTTTATATTACTTTTGCTAAAAGGTCCCCAGAAAGGCTCAGATCCTTTTGCTTGGGTGGTACTGGAGCAAGCTGCAAAACAAGAAATACCAAAGTATTAAACTTCAGAGGACAATCAAATATATCAATACATCCAAACAAATCCTTGTTACATATCAATCAGATTCAGGATATTTAGAATATGTAATCAGTTGATTACAATAGATAGTGAATAACTGCATATTTGTAAGAAGACTGATTTGTAAGAAGGGTTCTACAGATTTGTTCAGATTTGCATTTGTGTCTGTAATGAATGGGCTCGATTCACTTGTCATTTACACTGATGAAAATCAGAAGCAATTTCTGTGCTGTAAAGACAGCTGCAAAAATGTAAAGCTAGTTTAAGTCAGAGTAGAATAGCTTTCAACCAGTATTCCAGTTCATGGAGTTAGTAAGCACAGTTTAGTGAGTACTTCAAATTATACTTTTAATAAATTATTTTTGTTTAAATCAGACCATTTGAATTGTTCTATATTTCAAATATTTCTGAATGATTTAATGAATTGCTCCACACTGATTTTCTTCCTGTCATAGGGTGAAAAAACAGTAGGAGTGAGTTATTTATCCCTTTACTTATTAATTTGACAGTTGTATACTAGTATCATTCATCTTTGAAGTGTGTACTGTATTTCTGATCACATCAGTAAAACACCAGAAGATATCAAGCAAAGTAATATCTGGATTTCTTGACATAAATTTGCTGTGTAAACAAAAATCTGAATTAAAAAAACCTGCTTTGCATAGTGATGCTGTACAATGATTAACATAACTATTCCAGCAGCGCACTGCAACGTTTCATTGCTGGAATGCAAATTTATGAATGGATGTAGCTAGCTGTAACTGCTGAAAGCCATTTCTAGATATATAGTTTACATCTTGCCCTCCATAAATCTATTGCCTAACTACTTTTTCAGAAGGCATTTAGAAAGTCCAAGTTTTACAAAAGGAGTTTTTAAGGGGATATCATGTCATTGCTTTTGGAATTCCTGTGAAAGTTAGGGTGCATTTGTTCATGTGTTATTCTTTTGGAATTTTAGAAGATAGTAATTTGTTTCTTAACAATGTTGCTCACATCTACACATGTTGCTTTCACATGTCTATCTACCACTGCCCTTCTCTATCTTTCCACACCCCTTTAGATTTTATATATACATAAATACACCTATACTTTTAAAAGTGAAAGCGCCTATAATATTTACTTGTTCTTTACATAACTTGTTAAAGAATAAAAAAAAAAGTAGTTAGGTTGAGTTTAAGGTTTCAGCTATTACATACAGCATTACTAAGCTTTGAAGTATGTGTCTCCGAAAGATTTTTCTTCAGAACAATCAGTTTGCAGTATTTTATAGCAAGCTTACAGATTTACCCAGTCCCCTTTTTTCTCTCCTAGACCATTAAAGCAACCTCATCCCAATGTGGTGTTTCTAATTAAGATTAAGATCATGAAAAAGGCTTAAGTATAGCCAAGTAATCATTACAGAGCAACTGATCTAGAAAAGTATGTTGCAGATGACGAGGGTGAAAAGCAAAAACTACTGAAACAATAAAACAAACACCAAACTCACCTTTTCAAATTCTGCAGGACTCCTCGGATGCAAGAACCAGCAAAGTAAATTTCCCAGTAAGGTGAAGTAGAGTTACAAAATTCAGTGAGCAAGAGACAGAGAAGGCTAACGATACGCATGTGTTCTCAGTACAGCAACTTACTATTTCTGTAACTTAAGAAAAGGGGAGGGGACTATTAGCCCAACTCTGAAGAAAAATTGAAAACCCAACAGAAGAGGGGGAAAAAGCTGAGCTTCTGGAATATTGATTAGTCCTGGCACAGTAAAAACAGGGTCGTTTTCTTTGTTTTTCCCTTTAGACCACTTTCACGCTTTGTCAGTTCAGTTTCATTAGAAATGCAAAATCAGGACCCAGGAAGAATTGAAGAATGACACACACATACACAACCCAGAAAGCTGGAAGCCTTCTTGATTAGACATTTCAAATGGAGTCTGTAAAACCTAAGCATAATTATATTACATTATTCCAGGATTTTTTAAAATGATGAAATATGAGGCTATTCTGCTCTGAAAAGAAAAAAACCAAACATTGTGGTTTGGACCTTCGAAGTGTTTTCTAATCCTTAATGATAGTTATTCAAGGAAATGACTTTTTTTGTGGGTGGGGAACTACCCTTATATCTCTCAGGAGCAACTGGCAGAAAAATAGGATCAGATATTATTCTCTGTAATTTCCATGTAGATATTTGAAAAGCAAGATGAGGCTTGTAGTTCAGAGGAAGTCCCATCTAGATTAGATTACTTTCAGCATAGTGTGTGAATTATAAAAGGAAATATACTAAATACCCAGATTCCCCCAAGAAACCTGTGGCTTTTGGCTCTTTTCTGTTTTGTTCTTTTCTTTTTGTTCTTTTCTGTTCTTTTCCTGTCTAGTTTTCACAATTGGAAGGATATTTTCTTTGAGGTAGAGAGAGGGGTTGATCTCATAAGAAAAGAAGAAAAAAATGAATATTCTACTGTTTAGGAGAAGATTCTTATTTTACATGCTGGTTTGGTCTTTGCAAGATGCTGTGTGATCATGCCAAGTTTTCTATGTACTGGAAGCTTTTGGATGATTCCTGAGCTGTGTATTTGTATTAAGACCTCAGGATGAAAACAGTTGCATATATGCTAACAATATTACATGCCACACTGATTAATTCTATTATTATATCAAAGGATTGAACATTGATTAATATGCTTTTTCTAAAAAAGTTATAAAATATGTTCTAATCCTCTTACAAACTAGACATAGTGCAAAGATAAAAGAACATTAGAAAAAATGGAATTTGTGGGATTAAAATTACATCCCCCAAATCACACTAATGGTTTTGCTTTCTTCTGTAGGGAGCATTTCAATGTTCACCTTGTTCATGTGCCTGATTTCAGCTTATATTATAGATCTGAACTGAAGACTTTCTCAAAAGATTTCTATCTTTTACCCTCTTTTAATGAGTAAATGGGAAATTACTGTTTACTCTTCAAGAACAAAAATGCTTTTAATTAATTTAGGATCAAATTCTGAGTATGGCCTAAAGAATCTGGCACAGATAACATGCAAGTAAAGAAAACCAACATGAAAACTGAACTCATTTTAAACAGAATGAAGTACATCATAAATATAGGTTTAGTGAATTAAAATGACCTTATTTATTATCCATTTTAATAAAAAGAGCAAGAGAGAGTGGATAATTTGTGATGTTGCATAGTGATTTTTCTTTGACCCAGCTTGTTGGGCTTTTTATCTCCTGATCAGAGTTCCTGTATAGCCCATCCATCAACTTGAAGGTGTTTTTCATACTGCCATTTTAAATGCTTTCATCATTCAGCCTGAAATAGGAATTTGACCTTATAACTGACCTGGCCTTAGTGATCTGCTTTTGTTTGAGTTTCCCTTTGGAGGCTGGCAAGCCATTTGTGGAACTTCCCAAACAGGGACTTGAACCTTATACTTACTGAAACGAGCTCTGAAGCTCCCACTGATTTCAATGGGACAAGATCAGGTGCCAAAGCAGGTGATTTGGATGTTGTCATTTCATTTCCACTGAGTTTTAGGAGTGTGTAGTCTTCTCCTGTGAAAGAAAATTAATTGACCATTGAGACTTAATGAGAAAGTGAACCGAAGGTGGTCTCGCAGTTTAGCATTTTAAATTCAGCCCATGATCATTTTTTTTTAGTTCTTGGTGAGTGTTATCTTGGTAAAACATATACATCATTATTGTTTCTGCTTACAGCAACACACCACTGAGTAATCTTTGAGTATCCTGTGCTTGAATACTCTCTCTCATTTTCTCCTTCTGCCTATATATATTCCTACTATGTTTTACTCTTACACCCCAACTTAAATAACGTCTGTTGTCGCTCTGTGAAATGACACAGTACAGTATAAAGAAAAAGGGGGTGAATTATTTTAAATAACTGGGGATAGTGTGTGAGCCACAGTGAAGCACACAAAGTGATATTCACTTCAATGTACTCATTAAGTTTTCACTATACATACAACAAAACTGGTACTAGAAGTAGTTTTTAAATCTTATCTGTTAAGCAGTTCTGCCTTGGTCAATAAATTCCAGTAATTCTAGTGGTTTCCTTGTTTCTGGGAATAGTTATTTAAAACAGGACAACGTTTGACTGAAGTTAGTCAACAGAAGGAATACAAGAAAGAAGAGCCAGCATGTCTTGTGGTGAGAATAAGGGAATGTGAATCAGGAGAGTTGTAATATATGCCACTGAGTCATTATTTGGCACTAGCAAAATAACTTTAATTTCTGTGTGCCTCAGTTTCCCTTGGAAATTGAGGCACACAGAATGGAGATAGTGCTTTTTAAAAAGCACCATCTCAGGTCTCATTGGGGCCCATCACCAAAGAATGTGAGGGCTTTTGCAAAATAGTGGGAGGTAGATCCTTGGCTGAAAGGTGCCATGTTAACCATAGAGTATTGTTGTTATCTCTCAAGAGACATATCAAACAGCAGCCCACTCAGGTCAGCTCTAGAAAACGTAAGAGAGCAACAAATAACAAACTTCAGTATTAGCAGCTTCATTTCTTGAATAACAACAGAAAATGTAACACAGATGAGTATGTTGATTCCTGTTGAAATATACCATTAAACTATTTGAAGTGAGCCCATTCTTCTCATTAAGCAGATTAGCACTAGGCACTCGTGCAGAATGAATCTTAAAAGTTTTTACTCTAATTATCTTATAACAAAAAAAAAAAAAACAATAGAAATTGCATTAGAATTGGTTCTTATATATAGTTTCTGATCTATTAGATAATATTCTTACTGATCATCCTGAGGCCTCAGAGCACCTTAATCATATGGATAAGTAACATGAACTTGCTGTCCTGATGGGAAAGCTGAGATTCATGAATGTTATGACTAGTCCATTATGACAAAGTGACAAAGATAGGGCACACAGTAAGACCTCTTGAACTTATGCCTAACCCCTTATCCATGGAGCCACGGTGCTTATTCTGCTTTAGATTGTTTTGGAAGCTTTATGTCTCAGTCTGGGTATGTTAACATGGGAGAGTTTGTGGGTAGAGGAAATATTGTGGGTTTTTCTACTGAAAGCTGTTCAGTCATCCTCTGTTTATTATAGTGGAATTTAATATACCTGTATTTTGGCTGAACTTATGTGGAGACTGTGCTATACTAATGATTAACTATCAAATCCAGATTTTGTTATTGTTAATGTCAAAATTCATACTGAAGCCAGCAGGACCCAAATATGGCTCTTTCCTTTATGTGCTCTATAAACATTGGAGAATATGTTAACAAAGCCTATCTAATACTTTAATATTTGGGGTTTTCTTCCACTTAAACAAATGCTCTAGTGTTGAAAGTATGAAAGAGGGAATCAAATTTCAATTCATACCAAAAATAAAGGGCATTTTTATGTGTGCTCCAGGAGGCGTGCTAATTAAAAGCACCTGAGTGTCACATGTATCAGTGTCCCTGCACTGAAGAATGGCGGCGGGGCGCTTTGAACTAAAGCTCATCCAACGAGCACTTCACTGCCATTTTTCAGTGTGAGGATGCTGATACATGTGATGCTAGAATCTGTCGGAGTCTGTTAATTTTCGTGCTCCAGCAGACTTGATTATGATGCGCTGGATTTCCAGTGCATCAGAGCAAACTCCCTGCACATGTCTAGGAGCCCCAAATAGCTAAGTTTTCTGTAGGGGTATTCTGGAATTTCCTTCATGGGTAAGAGGTACTGTTTGATCCTGTTTGAAACCATAAGGCATCACTTGACAAGGTAAAATTACATATCCTGAAAACTACTGAATTTATGTAGACTATCTGATATCTTATAATTGAACATACCTGATTCCGTGGTTAGTTATGCTATGGACAACTGCCTATTTGATTTTGCCTCAATTGCTTTAATTTAATTTACCAGACAATTTTTTTTTAAAAGTTCATGCTTGCCAGTTTTTACCTTGCAGGTATACCCAATGTCTTCTATTCAAATAGCAGGGGCCATCTGAAAAATCAGCTAATGGTGACTGTTTTATGATGACCATGGTATGTCATGTTATTTTAAAGTTCCTGCACTGACTTGCATTCTTTCTGCAGTATGGACTGGGTATACATTTTTCCTATGCAATCTGCCATACCAGAAACAAGAGTGCTTGCTGTCCTATATAGGATGAGGTTCAAACCCAATCCTTTACTTAACCATATATATTAATCTGAAATCCTTTTCTACAACACAGTTATGAAGAACTGAAATTCTCTTATTTAGGTAATATTTTCATGGGTGTTTGTAAACTTCAATGCAGAACTGTGTTAGCAAACAAGGTTCCCTTTCACAAAATGTATGTGTTTGGTTGGAAGCCTCCATTTTCCCTCCAGCGCAAATCAGCAGTTACAGCCAGAGAAGTTGGTGTGGCAGTACCTTTTGGGATAGTGCAGCATGTTCTCTATGGTGCTCTGACGTGTTCTGAGAGTCAGTGCAAAACATGGCAAGGGGGATATAGTTCAGTTTATAATCTGAACAATTTTCTTGGCAAGAACAACAGGAAATTTTTCTCCCAATGGAAGGTTCTAGCACCAACCCTGCAGAAGGATGGGGTTGGGGAGGCAGCATACATTAAGGGTACGTGCAGACATCCCCAGGACCCATTCAATGGTCATCTGGCTTTAAGCCGCATGATCAAAGATTGGGGCCTGCTTATCCAGAGATTCACCATTGCTGGGAGCTGCACTGGGAACATGATTTCAGTAACTTAGGTTGGGGGGAGGGCTGGATTGGGGGGAGCAGGGGGCTAGTGGGTCCACAGAGAGGGGGTTGTCTGGATTGGGGAGGACTGGGGGGTTTGCTGGGGGATGGTGGGTTCATAGGGCAGGGAGATCAGGGGGCTAAAAACAGCCTGGTGAGAGTAACGTGGTAGGAAAAGCGCAGCCTTGGCACTGCAGTGAGTGGCTGAGCTTTCCCAGCCTTGGGGCTACACTCTGAACATGTATAGATATTTGGTAGATCAGGCTAGCGCATCCCCAATCTAACTTGGTGAACCTCCTCAGGTGAAGTTAGTTAAATTAGGCTGGCCATTTTTTCCCCAATCTAACCTCCCCAAACATATTAGAATATAGATGGACCTAACCTGAGTTGGGTCGTTTTAAGTGTAACGTCTGCACATACCCTAAACAGTCACTACACTCAATAACTGCAATTTAAGAATATATAGGTGCTGGAAAAGAGGAGACAGAACCTCTTTTTTGCCTCAGCTTGGCAAAAAATCTCCATGGTGCAGCTATCTTCAGCATGAAACTTCCTTTTAGTAACTTCAGCATCTCTTTCTGCTTTCATCGGCAGCAAACCAACGTGATCTACATGAGTGAAGCTGGG